CACATCCTTTCTATCCATCTGGCTGTTCATTGCATTTTTTCATCATTAGATTATAAATGTTTTGTTGTTGGATAGGTTGTTGGTCCCCCTGGTACTGGTAAGACAGATGTGGCAGTTCAGATCATCTCAAATCTCTACCACAATTTCCCTGAACAGAGAACATTACTGGTAACCCATTCTAACCAGGTAAGTCATAGAAATCAATACTCAAATTGAGAGGAAATATTGCAAAGAACTGCACAATAGGCCTGAGGCATATTCTGGTTTGGTGACTTTGTCTCATATAATATTCACTGTGCAGAGAGTCAAGTCAGCTTGTCGCCTTTCTTAACTTGATAATAATGTTTAATGAAAGTGAATCAAGCTGTGACAGAACATTAGCAACAGTGTTGATTTGTTAATGGTGTACACGTAGACTAATGTGAGATAACTACTGCAGGTTATTTTCAAAACCTGAGGTAAGCCTTTTTCAAGTTGAATATCTCTTATAAAAGAGAAATTTTCAATAAGTGGAATAAACTTGTCATCATCATCGCTTATCACCACTGCAAGTACAGCAGTGGCGCAGCTCAACGGGGTCGAACTGAAAGCGTATGAATATGCTATAAAGGATATGGCATAATCACAGCATAGCACTGTTCGTTTTGATTAGATGATCTCAAAATTAAAAATAAGATTTAATTTCAAGGTAATGACATTGTAAGGCAGCATTACCATCAGTTGAAATGCCTGCAATCTAATAAATAACATAATATATGTTTCTTGGTGTTTTTGTAGGCATTGAATCAACTCTTTGAAAAAATCATGGCACTAGATATTGATGAGCGCCACTTGTTACGTCTTGGTCACGGTGAAGAAACACTTGAAACAGAGAAGGATTTCAGCAGGTAACCTCATTACCTTGCCTTATGTTTTAAAACAACTGCTTTGAAAGTCTTTCGCTACTGACTAGAGGTCTTTTTAAGTAATGTTTCAAACATGCGAGAGAGAGTTCTTCCTTGAATTTCCGAACACCGAAAAGTGAGTTGAAAAGTGATTTTTTAACTGACTTTGAGGTGTTTGGAAATTCAAACTCATGATTGTTCTTGGAGAAAATCAAAGAAAAAGTTTACAAAATTTAATGCAAATTAAGAACACATTTCCAAACCACTGTCACAGTAGTGATTTGCTTTGTTTTCTTCTCATTAAATATTCATGAGTTTTAGAAGCTAAGATAACAAACAGTATGTTAGCCATGAGAACCCACTTATCCAAAATCCTTGATGTGCCCTTGCATTGAGTAGACAGATCTGTTATAGAAGGCTGGTTATGTAGCTTGGTCAACAAAACAAATACATTGGATGAAATACAGTATTAGTATTGCTAGTCACATATACATGGCTTTTAGAAACTACTGTGAGTAAGAATGTGTGAATGTTAGACTTGAAAATAAAACTTTACATCATTTTTAAAATGATCAGACAAGCCGGAGGATTAAGAAAATAGGTTGTGTCAAAAAATTCACACCTGTTGATACAAACCTCCAATATTAACATGCAGCATGTAGAACACACATTAACCAAAGCTGCTGATGTGTACTCATGCTGCTTACAAACTATTAGGTGAAAATTCATTTTGACTGTACTTTAATGGACTACTTTGCCGATGTGCGGCAATCTTGAATCACAAGGCATAATGGGTCATCCAGGGGCAAATATACAAAGCTTTGTTACAATAATGGCGTAGAGTTGACATTTAAGGTTCACAACAAGAACAATTGACAAAGTTAATTGAAATAAGTGAACAGTCCCACAACTGTGGAAATTTCTCAAATGTTGTGGGGTCTTCATTTCAGCATTTTTATTTTGTTTTGCCCAATGTGTGACCCATAATGCCTTGCAATTCAAGATGGCCACCGCATTGTCAACGTAGTCTTGGTTCAGGTTTGTAACAAACAGATAACAAAAGCATTTCCCTTTGATGTTTATCAGGTATGGACGTGTTAATTTTGTACTTGCGACAAGATTGGAACTGCTCAAAGAAGTCCAAAGATTACAGGTATGCAATTTCAGAATTAATATTACTTTCTGTGCATCTGCACATAACATGAGTGCTTGTGATAAAGCAGTACATAAAAACCATAGGCAGCAAAGCAATACATACACTTCACAGTAAGCTGGAAACTGTGAGTTTTGTTATTGTATCAACCCTAAATGTGTAATAAACAAAGTAATACATGTTAAGAGCCTGGTATCTTTTTTATTCTCTCCTTTTTCATATCATAACACTCACTTGCTTGCAGATGCAATCATTCATATGATAACATTTTAGCATTTTATAGTACTCTCAATAAAATTACTCAACTCTGATTGGTCGAGAGGAGTACAACTATAGCGTTAATTGTACTCTGTAGGAGTATCGAATTAAGTCGCTATGGAATCACGGCCAAAAAAGCGGGGAAAAAGCTGTAAAAATTAATAAGAAGTAATCTTTATTATGCATTTCAGTTGTGCGATGGACTGACAATCGGTTGAATGGCGTCGCTTTACATTAAACAAATTACATGATCTTCCCGTACAATTTGGAATTAATAAATCGTACTCGAGATTGTGTGATTTCTATACTTACTGAATTTTTTATCATTACCTGGCCTAAGTAGTTGCAAGTCATTCGGTGGAATTTGGTTTTCCACTGTCACCAGTCAAAAACATTGGTTGACAACAGCAAGAAAAAAAACACTTCAGTGTGCACCTAACCGCCTACGTAATAAATTACTTAAAACTGCTCTATGAATCACATCCACAGGAGAGTTTTGGTGTCCATGGTGATGTGTCATACACATGTGAGACTGCTGGTTATTTCTACTTATACCAGGTGATGAATATTATTTATGATGTTAGAAATCATTATAATTTGAAAATACTGTAATAATTGGTATTTTGTAGTCCTGAACAAGTGCAGTGCTAACATGCATCAGATTAAAACCTTACATATTGAATTCATGGTTCCCCTCTTGGACAAGAACAAACCACTGAGTTTTCCCATTGGAATTTAATTCTTGTCCCACAAACAACAACACAGTATCTGTTTTAAAAAGTACTAGTACAAGGATTACGATTTTATTTCATTTTCAAAGGACAGTAATGGGTAGAAACAATTTAAAATCAATTTAATTTCTACAATCAGAGTTTTAAATTCTGAGATATCCTAGCTAATTTGTTGAACTTGTAGTACATAGCAATGGTAACTATGGGGAGTCAGAACCATGAATTGGAATGAATTTCCATTAATATTATGGTGGTAGAATAATTGGGGGACTAACGAAGAACATGAGCCAAAAAACTTCAAACATAACCATGTCAGATGTTAATAGTATAGAGTAGTGACTGAAAGTCCTGTAAACTTGTTGAGAGACATGAAAGGAATGTCTTGCATGCAACAAGGAAGGTTGAACCTATGTAGAAGGACATGGAGAAGATCTTTCGTCTCAATTTATTTTCTTTGTGTGTGTATGTCAGGTTGTTTCACGCTGGGAAGAATACAAAAGCAAACTGAGGAGTGAGGTAAAGAAACGGCATTATGAATTCAATAATAAATATAAAATGTATTTGTGTTTCCGAGATTAACAGGAAGTCTGTTAATCACCACATGTAGTATTTTGGTGCTGAATTCTTCTGGTAATCCAATTTGAATGCTGTAAATGTGAAGTTTAAACATTTTCGTAGAGGAGTTGTACATCCATGAGTAAAAATTGGTTATTATTTAGCTTTGCTACTGCTGTAATGTTCATTTGAATGTGTTCTTCTCTATTTTCAGAAAGGAAATGTGGCGGCAATTGCTGAATTGTTTCCATTCAAAGAATTTTTTTCTAATGCACCACAGGTAAACAATGATAGTTAAATGTTTGGTGATGGCAGTTAAGCTTGACATTTTTCACTCCCCCCTCCCCCAAAGTGCCACTACCCAGCTATACCCCTGGGGGGCGGGGGGGTCCAGGAAAAAAATTTGGTATCTTTTAGGGTGTTAAATTCGAATTTTTGAAAATCAGCATTTTCTGGTATCTCTTAGGGTGTCCGAAAAGGAGAGAAGCAGGCATCGATATGGCTTATCCTAGGCACTTTTTTAATATAATATTTAATATTATTTGTTGTGGTATCTCTTAGGGGTTTAAAATCATTCAGCCACGCCCTTTTCTAAAGACTTCCAGTATCTTTTAGGGGTCTATTTGAAAATTTCCGACGAGCATCCCCGGTACATTCTTCTCCCAGAGTCCCTCCGCCGCGAGCTATACATGGAGAACATTTGATGAAACCTCCCCCAACTCACCTGCAATTTCCTATTTACTTCCTTACAAAACTTTTAATGCGGAACTTGCAGAACAATTTTATTAACATAGCTAATGGAGGGGAATGTTTCTGCTCTATTACCTATCTTATTAATAAGTACATTTTCTTCTCTAGCCAATCTTTAAAGGTCAGTCCTGGGAAGAAGACATGGAAATCACTGAGGTAGGAAAAGAGTCGTCATGTGTCATTACATTTACCTACCTAGTCTTGAATCTTTAGAAACCTTTATAAAATGATATTATGATTGATAATGGTAATGATGATGATGGCTGCTGGTTGAGTTGATGTGATTGGTGGAGTTGGTGATGATGATGACTAATGATGGTGATGTGATCAATGATGATGATGATGATGGCTGGTGGTTGTGTTGATGTGATTAATGATGTTAATATTGCTAAAGAATCAGGAGGGTTTTCAAAAGCATTGTAATTGGAGATAACTTTATTTGTAGATTCATATTCTTGCACAACAGGCCTGAGACGTGGTCTGGTTGCTGACTTTGTCTCTTATAACATTCACTGTGCAGATATTCAAGTCAGCTTGTCGCCTTTCCTAACTTGATAATAGTGTTCATGAAAGTGAATCAAGCTGCTACATCATTTTATCAATATTCCTCTAAGAAAACAGTGCTACCTTTCTGGCCTATCCTGCTGTGGTTTATTGCTACTCTGTGATTGTAATTGTTCATTTATTTTCTTTCTTTCTCTCTTTCAAAGGGGTGCTATCGTTACATCAAGAAAATATTCCAACAGCTAGAGGTAAGCAACATACACTCTTCGCCATCTGTTAGTCAAGTCCAAAGAACTGCACAATAGGCCTGAGAC